AGTAGAGCTAACGCACCTACTATCACAGCTGAGTACTTAGGGAATATTAGTACGCTCTAACCACGCTTCGCTGTGGTTCGCTGTGGCACCGCAGCGGCTGGATTATCAGCCGGCTATTTATCTATCCGTCTACATAGTACATGCCCATTCATCTACATATGATGTTAGGCCAGAACACTACTTGGGATGATCTCGGTATCGGCTTCTGTTGCTTTCGGTGTGGAAAACACCCGCGTCTCCCGATACATGTAGGCATTCTCCTCAACTCATGACCTTAGCACTAGCCTTAGCTTTTCTTCTCTCTGTCCTAATTCGAAGTGATTCACGTCACCGACACGTGGCTTACAGAAGGAAGCAAGGAGAATACCGTCTATCGAACTAGACATGCTTGCTAATAGTCTTACACTCTGCCATATATCCTTACTAACTACAGTCAGGAGCGGAACAATCTAGATGGAATATAAGCCACACCGCCGAGAAGAAGGACAAGTAGAAAGAAGAGAAAAGATCGGATCCGGCTAATGCCGTGGGTTATATACTGTAAGTGAGATGATTAGTATCGTATCTTCCCAGATCAGTGGATCCAACCACTCGTGTGGGTATCTAATGAGCTTACCAAACCGGTTTTTTTTCCTATGAAAAAGAATGAAAAAGGTCGGTATCCAGTTCGTAAAGTCATGCTCCGAGATGACATAAGACACGTAAAAAATGCAAGGCAAGTAATCCCGGTGTCGTTTGACCTATCTACCCTGCACTGCATATGCGAGAGGTAGGTAAGTACCTACATATGATGTACGGCATAGGGCTGACGAATGAGGAGTACATTAAAACATGAAATAGGCATTCACATACCTACTGTACCTACGCAAGAAAGCAAACCATACATCCCACTCAGTAAGATTGTAAGTATGCGAAAGCTCAGCCACACATCTACGTACATGAAATTCCCACTTACACGAATACGGAACCGAAAAGACAAAGAAAGACCTTGTGGTGCACAAGTACAGTACAGTACAATAAGTTCTTTCTATCCCGACGATCTGGGAAACAGTTGGGCACATGCGCCCGTTGGGCTGGCTGGCTGGGCGCGGCGCTGATAATGGCGGGTCGGGGGGGGGGGGGGGGGGGTGGGGGGGGGGGGGGGTGGGGAGGGGGGGGGGGGGGGGGGGGGGGGGGGTGGGCGGGGGGGGGGGGGGGGGGGGGGCGAAGGGGCGCGGGGGGGG